CAGGAACCAGGGGGCAGCTGTTAGATCCCAGACTTGGGTTGTCAGCTCCGGATTTAATACCCCCCGGCTCTGCTACTTCTGGGGCCCCCCACTTTCTGATAAAATGGGGGTGCAGGCTCTCGCCACAGTGCCCGGCACACATAGGATTCATCAAGTGTTGGCCCATGTCCCGATCTTGGGAGAGCAGCAGGCCACGTCCCGGTCTCCTCTTGACATTTAGGAAGTGGCATTTCGGACAGGTTGTCATCTCCCGTGCCACACAGCGGGGAGGAGGCGTACGCCGACCCTGGGAGCCTGGCAGGGAGGCGAGGACCCGGGTATCCCTGCGCTCCGGGCGGTACACAGCGTCGCGCCGGGACGTTGGCAAGGCGCGGCGCCCCCTAGTGGGCCACATCGGGGGAGGAGCGCGTCTCTCCCGGAATCTCCCGCACGAGGTTGCTCGAGGGCTTGGCGCCTGCCAACCGCACCAATGCCTCCAGGCCCCGGTGAATGAGCAGGCAGGGGCACCTTCTCCTTGTTGGAGGCTTCCGAGGGGGCTTCTGCACGGAGGGGACGCTGAGGCTGCAGGGTGAGCTGGCGCTAACCAGGTGAAAAGGGGAGGGGAGGGTACACCTGGCAGAGGAAGCAGCTCTAGCAAAGGCCCCCCGAGATGGGAAGATGGCGGGAGGCTGAGGAACTTCCGCGAGGCCCGGGAGCCCCGTGCGGCTGGAGCCTGCCGAGGGCCTGGGGATGGGGTGGCCGGGGACGGCGGGTGTCAGACCGGGTAGCTTTGAGTCCCTCCTTGAGAAGCTGTAAAATCACTGGGCTCTCGTCTGTGCTGGTGACAGGCCCCTTTGGACTGATGGGGACCCCCTGCGGGAGGGGGGCACGGCCGCTTCCAGTCGGTGGTGGGGACTGCGTGTGACTCAGACACACTGAAACGCACACAAATCAACACTCGGAAATCTACACAAGACAGAACTTTATTGATGGAGGGCTTCCTGGCGAGGGGTGTGTGGGCCCCAGGGCAGGGCCTGTAGCACCATGATGGGGGCGCCTGGATGTCGGGGTCCCCCTGGGGCAGGCAGGGCAGAGGTTGGGGCGGATCTTGCCAACTCTGCCTCAGCCCGTAGCTAGTCTGGTCAGGGGGAGGGTGTCAGGGGGGTGGTGCTAATCCCCCTCCCCATAGCGGACATAGACCCTCCCCCTCCCCCCTCCCCCCCAGCTCAGAGTGGAGGGATAGGGCAGTGCTGGGGGCAGGACGCAGGCAGACCCCCTCCCCACCCCCACTCTTCACAGTACATATTCCGGTCAAAGGGGGGGCAGTATTGGGGGCTCCCTAGGAGTGGGTGAAAAGGGCGCTAGGGCGAACAGTTGTTCCCTCCTCAAACCCACCCTGGAGGGGGTCTCACTGTGAACTGGGAGAGGAGATGAGGAGGGGGCCCTGGGGTGGCCAGCCCCTCTCCATCCCCCAGCCAGGGGCCCTGCAGGGGTTCCCAATAAATAACTTCCGGCTTCGTCTCACCCTTTACTCCCAGCTCCCGCCCCCTCGGGCTCCTTCAGGCTGGCCAGCTGCGGGCCGGGTCCCTTCCAGCCAGCGCCCAGCTGTAGCTCCGGGGCCGCGCGCCCCCTAGCGGCCCTGGCAGGTTTTGCAGCACATCTGGCGGAAGTAGGCTCTGCTGCAGAACTGAAATTTGAGCACCAGGGGGCAGTAGGCGACCTTGTTCACATCCTTGCATTCTGGAGTGGGGCGGGAGAACGGGGTGGGGGGGGGAGGGAGTGATCAGATCTCAGAGCCCCTTCCCTCAGGGGCGCGTCTGCAGCCTGCACTGAGCTTCCTAGCTTTTCTGCCTCAGTTTCCTCGCTTCTCAAAGGGAGCTTATAACTAACTCAAAGGGGGGGGGACTTGTAAATCGGTCATTAGGCTGTTGGAGGACTTTGAGAGAGAGACAGTGCTGGGTCTGGGACTCAGACCCAGCATTAAATCACGAGAAAAGTATTCCCTTTCAGTTATCCTTTTGATCCATTTGGGGCTGTAATCCTTGCTCGTTATCCTTTGTAATAGACGGAGGACCCTGAGCTCCAGAGAAGTCGCTCCTTTTTAGAGTATTTGAGTATTTTGTGTTCACGGTAATCGACCATCTGTTTGCGACAATGATGCGGGCTCCCACTTGGCCAGTGATGTAGGACAGGGCCTGGTGCCTAATAAAGGGTTTCACGTGGATTGTTTTATTCCATCTCCCTCATGCGGCACCCCCCTCAAGTGAGTGTATTATTTATCCCCCTTGACAGATTAGAAGGCACAGAGGAGGGAGCCCAATCCGGGCAGTTTGGTTCCAGTGCCCGGAGTAAGCGATCTATTGCCCTGTATGGAAAATAAATTTACTTAGGTAGGAAAAAAAAAAAAAAAAAAAGGACATATTTAAAGCAGCAGTTCTCAAGGGAATACGATTTTGTTCCCCGGGAGACATTTGGCCAGATCTGGAGACATTTCTGCTTGTCACCACTGGGGGGCAGGAGCGCTACAGGCATCTAGCGGACACAAGTCAGGAACGCTACTGAATATCCTACAGGGCATAGGGCAGCCCCACTCCCCCAAGAATTATCTGGCTCAAAACATCAATAGTGCCCAAGGTTGAGAAACTCTGAATTAAAGAAAAAAAAATTCGGCAGTTGATGGTACAGGTGGAGATGAACAGGATGAGGGTCATGGAGGTGGCTGTGGGAATGACCTGAGTTTGGGTGCCCAGAAGGATCAGGTGCCTAAAGAGCTTGGCATGCAGTAGCACTTAATACATGTCTGCAGGGAGAGGGTGAAGAGCCTGGAGGGGACAGAGAAAGGCACTGCGGTGGTTGGAGATGCTCCAGGCCAATGGTCAGGACTCCCACGCTCTGGACAAGGCCCTCTGGGTGCCCCTTGGCCTCCCGTCCCGCATACCTTCGGGGCCGTCCCCAGGGGGCGCGCTGTCGCACTTGGCTTCGCACTGCTGCGTGGCCGGGGGCCGCAGAGCCTCTGCGCACTCGCGCGACGGCTGGCCCGTGTGGCTGGAGCAGCGCACCGCGCGCTGTTGCTGCCCGATCCCGCACTGTGCGGAGCACTGCGGGGAGTCGCTGCTGAGCCTCGGCTGGGCCGCCCCGGCCCCCGCCCCCGCCCCCAGGGCGCCGGCCTACCTCGCCCCACTCGCCGGTCACCCAGCGAGCCGGGGGACAGCGGCGCAAGTTGCAACGCATGGTGGCTGGCGGCTTGGCTGCGGGCGGGCAGTGCGCAGGGGGCAGCGTGGCGCGGTGGTCAGAGCTCTTGCACAGGACGACGCGGTGGCGGAGGCCTGGCCCGCAGCTGGGGGTGCACTGCAGTCGGAGAAGGGATTTCATGCTCTGGGGCGTTCCAGTCCCCTCACGCACGGGGGTGGGGGGGGAGGATGGTGGTCCAGAGGGAGGCTAGGAGGGGTCAGCTAACCTTGGGCCGGTCGCGCGCGCCCGCGCGCGCGGGGGGCGGGGGCACTAGGTCTAGCAGGAGGGGCTTGTGATTGCGGAGAGGTGCCTCGGTGGGCACCCACTATGGGCATCCCAGTCCCTACCCGCCGCTGCACAGAGAGCGGGTTGTGCGGGGGCGGGAAGGGGCGGCTGACCTCTGACCAGTCCAGGGCGGCCCACTCGGGCGGGCAAGCGGGGCCTTGGCAGGCCTCCAGAACTGGCGGGCGCGGCTGCGGGCACGCGCTGTCGTCCAGCGCCTTCTCCTCGGCGGCTGACACTCGGCGCTGGCACACGACCGAGCGGCTGCGCACCCCCGCGTCACAGCTGCGGCTGCAGCGCGACCAGTTCCCTACGACCCAGCTGTGGGGAGGGGGCGGGCCTGAGAGAGTATGCAGGGGAGGGCACCCCGAGTCCGGGGTGCTGGCATATCCTCCTCCTCCTCCCCAGCAGCCAGCATCTTTACGGAACCGGGCACAGGCATGCCTGCCGCTTCTGCAGGGAGCACCCCCAGTGCGCACGTGGAGTGTCATCACCCTGCACCCGCACTGGGGGTGGGGAGGTGCATCACACCGCTGGAGACGGGACTTCCCCCGACTAGGCTAAGGAGCGTCATGGTTCTGACTCCCCCTCCAGGAGAGCCCTGACCCCACCCTGGGGAGCACTGTCACCCTAATCCTGGGAGCACTGCCACTCCTGCTCTGTCTCCCTAACCCTGCAACCCCCGCGGGCACTCACTCCGGCGGGCAGGGCTCCGTGTTGCAGGCTCGCTGCCTCTTGGGCAGTTTGCTGTGGGCGCTGCAATGGTGGGGGGCCACGGCCGAGCTGTCCAGCTGATTGCGGCACTCCACGGCCTGCACCTGGCTGCCTGGGGGTGGCCAAGAGACCCGCTCAGCCCTGCTGGGACCAGCAGGTGAGCCCAGGGGACGGGTGCCCGTCCCTGACCCCACCCCGACCTCACCGCCAGCACACTGGGCTGAGCACTTGGTCCAGGGCGCATAGTGCCAGGAGTAGGGGGGCAGTGCATCTCGGGCAATGGGCGCATTGAAGCGGTAGCGGAGGGCTGCCAGCTCTGTCCGGGCCAGTACCTGAGGTGGGGGAGGGGGCCATCAAGTGGAAGCCAAGCTCCGGTCCCCACAAGGATGCTAATATCTTCCGGCACCTTGCTCCCACTATCGTTACCATGACGATGAGAGATGCATTTATGGGTCCCAGGGCTTCTAGGCTCTGCGTCTGATCTGGCCCCTGTCGCAGCTGAAAGGTGGTCCCAGCCAGGGGCAGGCGGTGGGGCTGGGGGGTCCCGGGCAGCCCCTCCAGCAGCAGGGACTCCTGGTCCCCCTTCAGGGCTGGGGGTACAGCATCGGGGTCAGAACCCCAGCCATGCTGACCCCCTGCTGACCCCCAGTCCTCATCCCTCCACCTCCAGCTCACCCAGGTGACTGAGGGAGAGGTTCAGGTCCTGGATGAAGATGTGGACGGAGCCTTTGGGGATCCAGACGACTTCCTCATACCCTGGACGGTGGAGCTCAGATGTCGCCCACTTGACCCTTCCCCCACACCTTCCTACCTCCCCCATTCCTGGCCCTTGATGATAACAGCTAACCATTACTGCACTAAGTGCTTCCAGGGACATCGCACTGCGTCCCCAGCTCTGGCTCTGTGATGCAGATGTGTCATCACGCCCATTTTACAGACGACAAGACTGAAGCTCAGAGAAGCTAAGCAACTCGCCCAGTTTTGACAGCTAGGAAGTGGCTGGGCTGGGGTTTGAACCCAAACTTTTTCTGCCTCTCTGACCACCACAGTGGTCTGATCCACTCCCTATCCCCCAGCGTAGAGGGACGGGGGTGCTGTGGAGGCCCCAACCCACAAGGTGACATGTGGGGTTGACATTAGCAGGGTGGCATTAGCAGAGCCCACAGGTTTGCAGTGGGCTCCACCACTTCGACCTGGGTCCCCTCCCATCCCCTGAGCCCCACACTGGGGCCTCACCGTGTGTGTTTGCTCCTAGGAGCCCCCCTCACCCCCTCCCTGGGGTCTCTCTCCTTCAGCCCAAGGTTGGAAAGCATGCTCAAGTTCACCACAGCCTGCAGATATCCCTCCCCTAGTTACCCTTTTCCTCCAGCACAGAGCCCCTCAAGCCCCTGGCTCAGACCACGGAGAGCGGTCAACCCCTCTCTGCCTCCAGCCCAGCACCAGGCTCCCAGGATGGGGGAGGGGAAAGGTTCAGGTCACTGCCCTCTTGGCCTGTTAATTGCCAAGGTTTAGGCACCAGAGCCCAAGCTAGTCCCTGACCCTGATCTGGGGCATTGCTGTGCCCCTGGGACTTTCTGGGGTCCCCCCTGGGCCCCTGGGTCTGAGTAGCTGATGTTGGCTACCGTGATGGGGCCAGTCCTGCCCCCAGTCACCAAGTGGGCAGAGGGAGAGGGAATGGGGATCTCTCACCGGCTGCAGGCGAGGCTGGGCTGAAGACCCCCTCAATGGTTTCACAGGCACTGCCATCACCACCGCAAACCCGGCACTTGTCCTCCCTCAGGTCGGAGCCCAGGACCCGGTCACAGCCCACGTGCTGGGGAAGTGGGGGGGGTGGGGGCGCGGAGGGTCAGTGAGCCCCCCTTCCCTGCCTTCACTCCCCCATCCCCTGCCCTCTCTCTGGGAGCCCCCTCCACCTTGCACTCGCCGCTGACGCAAATGTCCACCGTGTCGGGGCGGCAGGGCGTCCCATCCACCACGGCCGCCGCTCTCTCCGTGTAGAAATTGAAGCCTTCGGCCAGGCATGTGAGTGAGCAGGCCTTCACGCCCCCTGGGGGGCACAGCCCCGTCAGACCGAGGGCCAGGCCACCCGGGACTCCCTGCTCGCTCCCCGGGGGAGGTGAGGCAAAGAGGGACAGACTCCAGACCCAACAAGGTTGGGCAGGTTGGGCAGAGGGCGTCTGGGTTCCCAGCGTCCAGTCAAGGAACTGTGGAGCCACATCCTGGGCTCTTCGGCCCCTTGGGTGAGGGGGCGCTCAGGGCAGACCCCACGATGCTGTATCCAGCTGCTGCCCTCCACTGCCCCATGGCCTCCTGGGTCCCTCACTCACCTCCTCGGTATGTCTTCCACGTGTAGAATTTTCCACGGAAGGGGATGCTGTCAAATTCGGAGCACTGCATTTCCCTGAAGTCCTGGGAGCCCGGGGGACAGTCCTGGGGGCAAGAGAGGGGAGCGGGATGGAGGCCAGTTGTGGGGGATGGAATTAGGGCACAGCCCCGAGGATGGAGGACGGATGCTCCGAGTAGGGATGGCTTGGAGGGGTGAAGCTGAAGGCAGAGAGGCCAGGGAAGAGGCTGTGGAGGGCCAGGTGAGACTGGTTGGTGGCCCGGGCTAGGTCCAGGCAGTGGGGCTGGAGGGACAAGTACATCTGAGATGGAGCAGATGACTCATTAGAGTTTGGGGCAAGCTGGGGATGATGGCTGGGTTTCTGGTTTCAGACCACGAGGCCTTTCTTGAGAGCAGGCCTAGAAAGGAGCCAGGGACACTCATTATGGGGGGGATGGGTGGCGCACGCGTGTGGACTCCCTGGAGACACCAGCGCCTCCAGGTGGGGCTGGGAAGACCACTCACCCCCCCACTCCAAAGCTCTCCCTGCCCTCTGAGCACCCCCTGCTGCAGTAAGCCTTGTGCTTATTAGATGTGCACACAGAAGACTCGCTCCCAGTCAGAAACCACAACCAGCTATGGGGAACCCCAGCATTTAAATACGGGACAGCAGTGGAGAAGAGGAGACAGAAGGTGTAGCAGGAGGAGCGTGAGCACTGGGCCCGGTGATGGCAGCAAGGGGGGCGGGGGTGGGGTGGGGAGTTCTGGACAGAGGCCGTGCTTCCTAGTCGGAAGGGAGTGCGGTAGTGGACCCAAACGTGACCCCTGGGTTTGGTGACAGCGAGCTCAGCGACGGCTTTGGGGCAGGGCCGTGGGGGGGAAGTTTGGGGAAACTGGGCTTTGAAGGGAGGGGGTGCGGCGCGCTATAGCTGGAGGAGGTTGTGGAGGTCAAGCAAGTTCAAGGTGGGAGAGTCATCTGAGAACTGGAAGGAGCCAGCCGCTCGCAGGGGAGCCAGGTCCTGTCGGCGCCAGGGCCCAGGGGCCGGTGTCGGGAGGGCAGGGCAGGGCAGGGGTGAAGTGTAAGAGGGGCCGAGGATCCCGGCCTGGGGTCCTGGGGGAACTCACGTCGGTGTTGCAGGAGCGGTGCCGCCGTCTCTCACCAAGGCAGTACCTGCCCCCGATTGTTGGCCTGGAAGGGGTGGGGGTGGGGGGACAGAAGAGATGTGGGGCCGGGGGGAGACAGAGGGGGGCCGCCCCGCTCTCTTTACAAAGGGGCCTGAGGGCTGACCTGGGGCTGTCGCAGTGACGGCTGGAGGAGGACACGCCGCCGCCGCACGTCCGGCTGCAGTCGCCCCACGGGGTCCACGGGCCCCAGGCCCCGTCCACGCCCTCCGGCCGCGACCCGAAAGGGACGCACACGCGCTTGTAGCACCACTACCGGGGGGGGGGCGGGGAGAGGGAGGGGGTGAGTCCGGCTCCGTAGACTCCGGGATCTCGGCGCCCCTTCCTGCCCCGCCCCTCCTCCCAGCCCGAGGTCTCGGCACCCATGGGATGGGACGGAAGGGGCGAGGGTGGAAGTGGGGTCTGGGCACTCGGACCCTGGCAATACAGGCGCGTGGCCTAAGCCTACGGTCGCCGCCTGGAGGTGAAACTCGCGCGGGGACCAGCGCGGCTGGAGTGGGGGCGGGGGTGTGGCCTCAGGCCATGGGCGGGACCTGCGGGCAGTAGGCGTGACCAGAGCCGCGGGAGAACCCCAGCGGCGGCGCGGTGGGCGTGGCTCAAGGGCAGGGGGCGGGGCCCGGCTGGCGGCCTTGGCCGGCGCTCACCCCCTTGTCGATGGTGTGCGTCTGGCACAGCGTGCCCTCGGCGGCTGGAATGCTGTTGGTGATGCACCGGTTGCTCTTGCTCAGACACCACAGCTCGCTGCAGACCTCCTGCGGGCCAAGGCGCCCGCTCAGGCTCGCCCCCCGCCCTCCTCCCTCCGGCAGCCCGCCCGCCGGGCGGCGACCCGCTCACTGCCGCTTCGCAGTGGGGCCCCGGCGCTCCTCTGCTGGGTCTCCAGGAGCCTTCTTGAATCCTCCTGTGGGGCATGGCCTGAGACCTCCCCTCTGCCTTATGGGCTGCACTTATCCAACGTCCGTGTGTGCCGTAAGCTCCCTTAGGCATTACTACCCCCATTTCACTGTCAGAAAACCAAGGCTCAGACAGAAAAAGTCACTTGCGAGGGGCCACGCAGCTTCTGAGGGGCGGCCCGGGTTCTAACCCGGGCCTTTAATGGACCGCTCTGTGATCTCATCACTCTGGTACCTTCTGAGTCTCCAGACCTGCTGAGGAATGGAGAGGATTCTGCATTCCTTGTTGGGATGGGTGCAGGGGCCCCTGGGAGAACAGGAATTCTGAAAACTCGGGCCTGGAAGATGGCTCAGGTCAAAGGCCTCATCTCTAATTTTTTCCAGCTGGTGGTCCTCCTTGTTCCCCCCCCCCCCCCCGCCCCCCAAACTGAGGAAGCTCCTGGAGCTTTTACTCTATGGAAGGCTGGGCAGGAACAAGGTCAGGCTGGATCTGGGTGGGACATTTCCTCTACTTCCCCCACTGAAAAATCTGCCCACCTTCCTGTCCAAATCCTGCTTGGGCTGGACCAGTCCCAGGAAGTCACTCTTGACCCTTTAGGTGAATATCCCTGGACCAACCCCACTGGGTTCAGGTGTGGCCAAATCTCTGACCCTCTAGCCTACATCCTGCCCCACCTCCCAGGGTCTCCGCCCCCCACCCCCCCCAAGTGGAGAGCCTTCATTCTCCTTTTTATAACCATGTGCCATTTCCTCTTTGAACCTAATCCTTTCAAGTTTTGACGATCTGGGCTTGGGCCAATCAATGGCTGTAGGAAGGGCCAGCCTCTGAAAGACGTGCACACACATGAGAAGTTCGGGAAGTTTTTCTCAAGTCCTCTCCCTCAACCGTCCTCCAGAGTCCCTGCCTTCTGCTCCTTCAGAGGACATGTCTCAGCTAAAAACTCCAGCCTGCTTTTCTGGCTTCTCTTGGCTTGTGTCCTCCCGGCCATTTGTAAAAATATCACGGGCCCCCTCATCCCACTTCGGACCCCTCTTAAAGAGAACCGGCTATTCCAGTGCTGCTTTTCCTCCTCTCCACAAGGAGGCGCTGTGGTGCATATGAACGGGCTCTGGGCCGCTCTGGGAGACTTCAGCTCCGCTGGGGAATTGCGACACGGACCCCTCTCTATTTTCTCATCTGGGAGATGGGCCTTGCCTACATAAAAGTCTGAGAGGCATGCGAAAGAGATTGCATAAACTCCCTGTTATTGTGTAACAGTGACCACAGCTATCTCTGGACTAGGCACTAGGCCCAGCTCTTGACACACGTTAGCCAAGTTATATGTAGTCAATAATTTCCCCCTTTGCCAGGGGCGCCGGGAAGATGTTCCTTGGAGAAATAAAAGAAAGAATCAATTCAACATACAGCCAGCACTGGTCCATGCTCCATATTCTGACACTTTCTCCCCTCCCCCACCTCATTATAAAATTTGGAGTCACAGAGAGACCTGGATTTGAGTCCCAGCTCTGACATGTTCTTGAACTGTGACCTTGGGCAAGGCACCCTCCCTATGCCTCGGTCCGTTTATCTGTAATGTGGGAGTAGCAGGATGGTCAAGAGTTTAAATGAGATGATATGTATCACATGCTTAGCACATAGTGGGTGCTCAGTAAATGTCAGCCATTGTCATCGTTGTTAGGATACCTGGGATACAGCAGATGCTCAATGGTGGCTTCCAGATTCTTTGGAAATTCGTTAAGGGTGCTGCAGTTAGTTACCAGCCAAGTTGGGGGAGGGTGGGCAAGAGTAAATAGAAATGATTCCAGGGTTTGTCTCCTTGTCTTGCCCTGGGATGAAGTGAGGGCATTTCAACAGTTGCCTTTTCCTGTGTTGAGTGAACATGGCCTTAGCTTGGACATGGCCGTCCAGACTCTGATCTTTGCAGTCTTGAGGAAGCCAGCAGGCCTCCAGCTTCCTGTGGGCGGCTGGGAGTGGGACCCCCAGCTTGCTTCTCTACAAAAGGACGGGGCTTTGGGAAGTCAATCTAAACCTCACAAAGAGTGAGGGGTGGTCCGGAGGCTCAGAGCTTGTCTAGCCAAGCATCAGGGCCAGGCGATCTTGGTGAACCAGTTGGTGGGGGATGTGGGGAATGAAGACAGGGTGTCCTTGGAAGGCTCTGCCCAGTTCTTTGCCAAGTGGGAAAGATGGTCCGTCCCCAGGGAACTATTTCCACCCCATTTGGAATGTTTGGTGAAAAACTGCCCAATTAGGGGGCTTGGGACTTCAGTCCTGCTGCAGCCCACAGGTGGCCTGATAGGCTGGACAGAAGGTGGTACCCAAGGTCTCCCCAGCCCAGCCCCCAAAATCAGGGGTCTGGAGGACCAGGAGAGCCCATTCTTCATCCCCGTCACTGTCTGAGTGCACGGGACATTTGTACACCCGTGCACCTCTTTCCCCCTGGCCCCTGCGGGGGCTCACCCCCTTCCCGGCTCTCCCACACCCTGTGGCCCCTCCCCTCCCAGGAAGGAAAGCAGGAAGGCTCTCTCTACCCCGTATTTACACTGACGCGATTTGACTCCATGTTGGAAGCGGCACTGTTCGTCTGCGTCGTAGGCCTGGCCAGGTGCCACCGTGGGGTACACGAAGTCCTGTCTGGGGGGCCGGTTGTTCAGGCACAGCCCCAGGCCTGAGCTGTGGCGAGAAGAAAGGAGCTGTTATGTTAGGGGGCTGCAGGCGAAGAGCTCAGGGGCCCCGGTGGGGTGCGGGTCCTAGGGCGCAGCCCTGCAGGGAACAGGACCCCTCTCAGAGGCAGCTCTGGTTTCCAGACCCTCCCCCCTCCCCGCCCAGCCAAGGTGAGTGGGCGTGTGGGCGGGCACGCGGGCACGTCCTCACTCCAGAAAGCTGGTGATGTAGTCGCGGCTGCAGGACGACCACACAAAAGGGTTGGTCTTCATGGTGATGTGGGCGGCCATGAGCTTGGCCGGGTCCTGGCCACGGGCCCCACAGCTGTTCCCCACACCGTCGTGGTTCATGCCAAACCTGGGGAGAGCAGCCTGGTCAGCTCCACCACAAGGGCTGAGGAACCTGCCCCCCCGCCCCACCCTGCGGTGTCCCCGGCCTCACGTATGTCCAATCTCATGGGCGATGGTGAAGGCAGTGGCCAGGCCAATATCCTCGTTGATGCTGCAACTTCTCTCCCGCTCGCACATGCCGCCCACGGGGGCCAGGCCTGGGGAACGGGCGCGTGGGGTGAGACTGGGCTCAGGCTGTGCTGGCCGGCCCGGCCACCCTGCCAGGTCCCCACCCTGCCAGGGCCGGGCCGGGGGCACCCATCCACTGCCTTCACGGGTGCCTGAAACCTACAGGGGAGAAGTACCTAGTGTGCCGCAGGGTTTGTTCCTATAGATGCAGATGTCATAGCTGTGGAAGGAGAGGGGGGCGGTCAGGGGCTGGGCTACCTCCCTAAGCCCTGCTGGTGACACCGTGACCAGCTCCGGAGGCTCCCCTCTGCCTGGGAGGCACTACCTGCCTCTTGCCCGGAGCCCCGCGCTCTGCCCCCAGCGGACCTCGGGGATGCTGGGGTGCGTATGTGACTGACCGACTGCATCAATGAGACGGTGAGTGAACGAGTGTGTCTGTGTCCAAGCGGTGGCCCAACTGTCCCTGCCTCCCCTCGCCCCCCGCACCGCGGCTCTCAGGCTCCCAGCAGCCCCTCCCCACCCCTGGCTCCCCAGCCTCTCCCATCTCCCAGCAGAAGTGACCCCTGCCTGGACCTGGATGGTCCCTGGGACCACTCGTTCCCCCGGCCCACGTCCTGGAGGCCTCCCCGCCCCTCACCGCGTGATGAGCACCGCTGTGTCATGGTTGGCCACACCGTTCTCCGGAATGGCGTTGCCATGGCCGCTGCGGTTCACGATGGATTTCTGCCACTTACAGAAGCTGTCCAGGGACTTCCCGGCATGGTGGGTGATCTCCAGGGTGGGCTGCAGACAGACAGAGGGGCATGGGCGCCAGCCACCCCGGGGGGCACGTGCAGGGGCAGGGGCAGGTGGGGGGGGCCCTCGCACCTGGTCCTCCGTGAGCAGGATGAGGCGTGTCACCAGGATATTAACGATGTTTCCCAGACTCGAGTCCTGGAAAAGTTTGGCAACCTGACCTCCAAGAAACAAGAGAGACCGAGTCTTAAGAGGGGCCCAGAGGAGGAGACAAAAAGCGAAACAGTGGCAATAGCTCTCTTTCACCAAGTATCTCCTGTGTGCTGGGCCTCGGATTAAGCCTGCTGTGCAGATCTTCGCACGAGTAGGTCCAATTATCATTCCCGTTTTACAGAGGGGCAGACCGACACACAGAGAGGTTAGGACACACAGCGGGTAAGGTGCCACAAGTGGGCTTCGTGTCTGGGTAAGGCTGCCTACAGAGCGCGGGTTGCTTACCAGTACATTTCTTTCTGACTCACCCCCATTCAGCTTGTCGATTTGTCCTCCATCCCTACCCACCCCTGCAGCAGCGTCAAGCGTCTCTGCCCAGAGGCGGCCTGAGAGAGTGCACATTTGGTCTCATTCCGCGGCTGTCTGAAGGTATCAGTTTGGGGGCACCTGGGTGGCTCAGTCGGTTCAGCATCTGCCTTCAGCTCAGGTCAGGATCCCGGGGTCCTGGGATCGAGCCCCGTGTCCCCGAGTTGGGCTCCCTGCTCGGCGGGGAGTCTGCTTCTCCTTCTCCCTCTGCCCCTCCCCTCTGCTTGTGCGCTCTCTCTCTCTCTCTCAAATCAATGAACAAAATCTTAAAAAATATATAAAGGTACCAATTTGAGCATCACCAGAAGAAGGTGGAAGTGTGAGGGGCAGGGAGCTCTGGAGACAGTGCTGAGGGAGAAGAAGGAAGTGCCCAGGGGACAGTGGGGCCACAGTGTGCAGCGATCTTGGAGCCTGGGGCATCACTGTCCCACGCGGAAACCCACAGAAACCCTGGAAGGTTCCAGACAACTTTGAAAGCCCAGGGGAGGGAAGCAGGGCTAGGGCGGAACACAGCGCTGTCACACACAATGTTATGTCAACACATCGGGCCACCTCTCTGTCTGCTAACCTTTTTCTCTTCCCTTTTCGCATCAGCGAAACAACAACGCCCCTTGTCAGGCTCTTACTGCATGCCAAATGCTCTGTCTGGCACCCACCCCTCCGCCAGTCTTTCCCTCTGTGGTACATGCTATGGTAACACCGTTTTACAAAGGTGGAAACTGAGGCTCGGAGAGATCCGGAGTCTTGACTGAGAGCTGGTGTGGGCCCTGGGCATATCTGAGTGTGGGTCAGTGAGGTCACCTGTGTGAAGTTATAGGCGGGTGCCTGCAGGAGGATTCGGACGTGTGCCCACGTGGGCACTGCTGACCTCAAGTTCAAGCTGCGTCCTTGTTTTAGACAGCAGACGCTTACGCAGCCCCTACCGCGTGCCAGGTACTCTTCCACACACTACGTCGATTCACTGCAACCACCTGCGCCTTGTGAAGGAGGTACTATCACTATCCCCATTTTATGGGTGGGTAAACCGAGGCACAGAGGGGCAGTGACTGGTCCAAGGGCACACGGCTAAAAAGCAGCAGGACCGAGATTTCGGCCGGGCCCCGCAGGCTGCTGAGTCCACGCTCCTGGCCGCCCAGCGAGGCTGCTTCTCCTCACTCCTTGCCAGACACCGGCCACCCTTCTCACCCCACCCCCTCCATTCAGGTTCCCTGACCTCAGGAGGCCGGCTCCAGGTCCCGGGGCTCCGTGGCCAGGGAGGGGGAGGCACTTACAATGTTCATGATGGCCAGCACGTACTGTTCCACGTCTCGGCGCCCATGGTAGGCCACCATCATCTTGTCAGCCACCACCAGGGTCTCCACGTAGCGCTCTCGGCTGACCGAGCGCTTCAGGCCTGGCTGGCCGCGCTCAGTCTCATTCCCCAGGGGCCTGGCAGGTGGCGGCTTCAGCGTGCGCAGCCACCACGGGCGCCCCTTCCACGGCTTCTCGTCTGGATGGACAATTTCTGGTCATTCTGCTGCCTACTCTTATGTCCACGACTGACCCTGTCTGACGGCACATCTGCCCCCTAGGCCATCACACCACTCATGCTTCGGCTACTGGGTGTCCTGGTTGTGCAACGTCTGGCTTTACAACAGCCCGCTACCCAGATGACGGGCTCCACGCCGTCACACGGGTCGGTGGCACGGCCGCCCCGGGCCCCACGACAACCAGCAAGACCGTGCCACTTCCTGAAAGTTCCATTGCCCAACCGTAGGCGTGGAGCCGCCCGCCTCAGCACAGGAACTGTGTGCTGGTGGGACTCTGTGGCCTTCCGTGCCACGTTCTCGTCAACGCGCTGCCCAGCTGTGCAGCTGGGGGACACCCCACTGCTGGAGGGTCTGACCGCCCAACCGGTCTCACTGGCCGTCCGACCGTGCAACGACCCACCCTTCCGTTCGTACAACCGACTGTGGTTGTAGGTCCGACACGGGGTCCCACTCCCAGACGGTCGGATTGCGCACCTCATGTCACGTCCCAGGGCTCCGAACTTGTCCCTGCAGCTGGACGATGGCCCTTATAAATATCTATCTCATCCAGCTTTCTTATTCCCCCGCCCCCTGCACGTCTGATCAGACCCCTGTCCTCCCGCAAGTCTGGTTGTAAATCGGACCTTCTGAACAGGGTTTGCACTGTGCAGTGGCTCGACTATCTGCCACTCCTCGGTCACTTAGCTGTCTGATCACACTGTCATCCTGGAGACGGAGGGTTTTACACCTGAGCAACCTGTCTCACTCACTGCTGGGCCATCAGACACCGCTGCCTGCCTCGGCCTCAAGGCAAAGATGTGCAGCCCCTCTGCCCATCCCCAGGAAGACAGAGGTACCTCTCACTCCACAGGCTGTGTCCAGGTGGGGGTGACGCAGAGAGGAGCGCTTGTATACCACATGGGGGCCACTCTCCTCTGGGCCCTGGGCCCCTCTGGGCCCACCTTGCAGGGGCTCGATCAAATATTCTTCTTCATCTGCCACAATCAGGCCATGCTGGGGGTTGGGGAGTGGGTGGAGGGCTTGGATCAGATTTTGGTTCCCGGGACCCACGGGACCCTATCTCTGTCTTTACGATTTCATTCTTTCCATCTTACTGGGTTTATGTTGCTTTTCCTTTTTTACCTTCCTGAGGTGCAATTTTGGTTCATTCATTTACAGCCTGACCGACGGCTACACATTGTCCTCAAAGTTCTGCTTTAGCTACATCCTAAAATAACTGATCCTTGTGATTAGCTCAAAATGTTTTAAAAATATCCACCAGGATTCCTTCTCTGACCTATATTTAGAAGTATTTTCCTTAACTCCCAAACTGGTGGGCATTTCCCCCTGCTTCCCAGAACCCTCCGCTCACCAGGCCCCCACAGGTGCTGATGGCCACATGGGAGCTGTCGGCCTGGCCCTGCAGGTGGCCGGCATAGAGGCAGTGGGGCCGGGCAGCCCTCTGCCAGGCCAGGCCCTCCCGTGTCCAGTACTCCACGGAGACGTGCCCCGCTAGAAGGCGGGGGCTGCGGGTCAGGTTCAGCAGGAAGTGGGTGCTGGGTGCAGCCACCTTGTAGTAGAGGCGAGACTCTGGGGCTGGCCCTGTGCCCCGACGCTGCCTCCGGGAAGCCGGGGGCGAGAAGGCCAGCAGGGCCCCATTTTGGTCCACTCGAGTGGGGAAGGCGATCTCATAGCTCTCCAGACTGGACAGGAACTCATCTGTGGGCGAGGGTCAGAGGCTTGGGGCGAGCCCTGGGAATGGTCCGTGTCTTTGCTGCTGGGCTACAGGGCAAATGATGTTGGCCTCGCTGACCCCAGGGCCCTCCCCTGAGGTCAGTGACTGCCATCCCAGCCCCACTGACCCTTCCTCGGCTCCTTGTTCTCTCCCCATGCTGCCCCTGAACACCCCTACCTTGAGACCGGAAGGCGTGTATGACTTCGAATGTGAGGCCCAGCCCCAGGGTGAGGGCCCAGTGGAGGATCTGGCAGGCGGGAGCCATAGAGACCACGTGTCCACATGTCTCTCTCCAGCCCCGGCTGCCGGCAGCCCCCACAGCACCGCCTCCCCTGTTCACAGCCTGGGCAGCATCACCGGGCTCCTGGGAGAGAGGAGTTGGGTTGGGGGGGGCGGGTGCCTGGTCCTGCTGCCCAGTGTGGCCAGTGCCAAAGCCCCTCACTCCCAGCCTCAGGGATGCCCGCTGCATTTCCTCATGCAGAAGTCCCCCGTCCCCCTGTCCCCAACCCCCTCATCCTCACTATACTCTGAGGAGACACAGGGATCTTGACTCTGTGGGCATCTACTACGTGCCAGCTACTGGCCTGAGCGTTTTCACACCATTTCATTTCATTTCCACGATAATCCCGAGGATTCGTTCCCTGGCTAATGATATGCATGGTATAGATGCCGTCCCTGCCCACCGAGGGGCTGTCTCCTGGGAGTGTCCGAACAAGAGGAGTTCAGATAGTGACAAGTTCTCCAGAAATAACGGGGAGGCTCAGAAGCAGGGGTGCGGAGGATGAGAAGAAACTCATCACGTGGAGACAGGAGAAGGTGCCCAGGGTGAGGAGCGGCAGGGCCAAAGGCCCAGAGGCAGGGAGGAGCTTGACCCTGGACCACAAGGGCCAGTGTGGCTGGGCAGAGTGCCTGAGAGGAGCATGCAGGAGGGCAGCAAGGGGAGGCTGGCCTGGGATACACTTGAAGGCTGTGTTGGTCAGGGGGCATTTTCAGCCCAGATTAAACCAGAAGCCAGTGCTTGGCTCCTCCCACTAACCCCATCTGACTTAGGCCCTGCCACTGGATCCCCCGCCACGGGGTAGCATTATTCACCCCTACAGGTGGCGTCTGTCCCCGTGACCTCTCCTCCACCCTCTGTTTCCAGCCTTGCTTCTGGTTCGGCTCCTTCTCCTTTCAGATTCTTCTTTCTGGAAGCTCTAGGCCTGCCCGGCAGGTCTCAGTTTCTCTGGCATCTGCCCCAGGCCAGCCTGCTGCGCACAGAAACCACTTTGGGCCACTACCCTGTGCCAAACCCTCCTCCCCACTCCTGTCTCCACCCTCCTCCTCCTCCTCTGTGCTGTTTCCCCCTTAATCACACACTGTCTTGTTTTCTTTGCAGCCTAGCCAAGTCTGAGAGTCGATCTCCAAACAGGGCAGTTCAGCACATGAGGGAGGGAGCCAGGTTTTCAACAAGATGCAGACTTAGAAGTCGAAATTACCCGCTTCTGCTTGGACCCCTCCAGCAATGGGGAGCTCACTCCAAGACACTCTGCGACCCTACGGCTCCCTTCAGCTGGGCTAATGATTACCCCTTGTTTTTCTGTTTGTTTTTACCTTTTGGGGGCTTCAGTTGACGGCCTGGCGTTGGACACCTGTGTGCGAGCCCCTCTGGGCCTCAGTGCCTCTTCTTCAGCGCCTGGACGGGGAGGGGGCAGTGAGGAGGAGCTGGGCTGGGTCTGGAGTTCCAGGGTGGCTGAGAATACTCTGTCCTTCTCCCTGACCCTGGTGAACCTCCTCTTGGATTTCATCCTCCCTCAGTTCCTAGTCCCCCACCAAAGCTCCCTCATGCCCTACTCGGCCTCCCCCTGCCCCCATCTCCTCTTGCCTCCTCTCCCCTATTCCATCCTGGAGACCTTGACCAGCTCTAATTAAACCCCTTCCTGGTCAGTTTCCCTGGCCCTCCTCTTGCCTTAACCCCCCTCCCCTCCCATGCCTCATTGCAGCGTGAGGCTGGAGCCCCCTTCCCCCAATCCTGTCCCTCTCCTTCTTTCCTACACTGCCAGGCCTGGTGCATTATCTTCCTCCCCCAGTGGCTCTGTGGCTCTGGTCCTGGCTGCAGTGTCTTTGAGCCTCTCCTGCTCCCCACCCCTGAGGTCCTCACCCCTGTCCTCCAGGGCTGGGGTCCTTCTCCCAATGACCTCACAGCTTCCCTTGTGCTTCTGGCTCAGGTGAGGTGTGGGGGGAGGGTGTGGAAGGACCTGGCATAGGTGGGTGGGGATGGGGAGGGGGGGATCTGGAGGGGGAGGGCACACAGGTGTCCCACCAGGGTGAGGTGGGAAAGAGGATCTGGGACAGTGGCCCCGCCTGCAGGGTGGTGGTGAGGTGTGACCTGCCCAGGGCACTGGGGGTACTGGGAACAGGTCAGTGGGTCTGGGGAGAAAATGATACTGATGGCAGGGAGGTTAGGGGGTTCCCCGCCAGAGCCTGGCTGGGGGCAACAGCAGGGGACCTACACCGGGGTGTGTGTGTGACTGCATGTGCATGACTCTGTGTGTGTGTGTGTGTAACCGTGTAAGTATGTATGTAGGTGACTTTTTGTGTGGTGTGTGTGCCCATGTGACCCCGTGTGTGGCCATGCGTGTGCCCGTGTGGCTGTGTGCGCGTGCACACGCACGCACGCGCGCGCGCGTGCCCAGGCTTGGCCATTCCTCCCAGCCCCTCCTCCCAGAAGGCAGGAGGGAGGCGGCCAGCACGGGGACGGTGCCAGCGCTGGAGGAGGAAATGCCGCGCGGAAGCGGCCCGGAAACAGCGGAGGCTCCATCCCATCCCAGTGATCCGGGAAGGACCCGCCGCTCCACACCCAGACCTCCTGGGCCGTGCCGGGGAGACCTGGCCACGCTGTGGAGGCCACGGCCGAGGCCGCCCGGGCAGAGGCCTCCTCCAGGCGCTGCACATCTGGCTGGGCGGGAGGCAGACCCTGCCGGGAGAGCAGACAAAGGCCCGCCCGCGGCCCGCGGGAGGAGGGGGCCGGCGCCCCGGCGGGTCCCCCTCAACTAGCCACTAATTAAAGGCCCTGAGCCCGACGGGCTGGAGACACTCGGAGACAGACGGCTGTGGCCTGGGTGACCCACTCAAGGGAAGCGGGAGATGCCACTCCCACACCCAGACACACAAACACACACTGGTAGCGACGCACACACTCGAGGGTGACCACACCTGCGCAGCCGGGGACCGACAACCGGACACCGCAGACCCACAAAGGGCTCCCGGCCCAACACACCCACACGCTCAGAACACACACATCCAGAGGCGAACGCACACGACACACAACCACACACTCCCCAGACCTATGTGCACACACACGTACACACTCATTCACAGAAGACAACCCAGAGACACACACACACTTGGGCCTACACGCACAGACACGTACACACTCGTTCACACACACCAGACAACAGACAAACTCAGAGTCCCACAGAACTTGACATACACACCAGACGCACTCACATACGGGCATTTACACACTTGTTACACTCAAGACACACTCTCAGCACAGAGACACTCACACTCACCTAGACATTTACACACCCAGCAGACACTGGCTTACACTCACACCTCTGCACACACACAGCACCCCATATGATCGCACACAAATTCGAACACACCCAGACACTCAGGGACATTTCATGCGGACACACACATGCAGACTCACAACACTCACACGTACGTGGATGCCCACACGCACCCCGACACACATACCCACACGCAGCAAACACACCCAGACAGCCGCCCACATGACCTCAGTGTCGCACACACTTAGGGACATCACACACCGACACAAGCCCCGAGGCTGGACGGTCCAACAGACCGGGGCCCGCGGCCGTCCCCGCCCGACGCAGACACACAAGGTCACCCCCGGGCACCCCGCGCCGGCCCCCTCCCCTGGGCGCCCGTCGGCCC